GGCAACTAATTATTTGATTGTTTAACTTTTTATAATTTCTTGCCGAAAGTATTCAAAGCCATTTGATGTACAACTGATTGAAAGTTTTTTTTCTCTAATCACAACATTTTAAGCAGCCATTAGAAAATGATCAAAAGTAAGAACCACACTTACAATGTTCACAGCCAAAGCTCATAAAATAAGGCATGCTACTATATTTACCCATCGCACGGTTTTGCTATATAAACTCTGGGGAACATGTAAACGGCTGTTTTTTTACTAAATTTTAAGTTTCATGTCGGAAATAATTATTTCATTTAATTTCGATGAACGATTTTGAAATTAAAGTTTTATTTGTAAAATGCAAGATTCGTACCCATAAATTTCTAAAAGGATCATAATAAATGGGTTAAAAGTGTACATCACAATGTGTTCATGTGCAAGTAAATTCATAATTTGATTAAATGTCGTTTCTGTCCAGAATAAATATGAGAAATTTATTATTCCTGTCAAAAACAAAATTACCTAAGGGCAATGTCCCGGTCCCCGCGCATTGCATTTGCACCAATTTTTACAAAATCCAATCTTTCATTTGCGCCAAAAAATAAAAACTATATTTTAGCCATTTTACAGATAACATATACATATACCCGAAATTTAAACATTCATGGCTATATCCTGAATCACAACTCAGAATCGGAGTTCGAAAAGCATCTGGAGACATTACTGAAAGACCATCAAAGGTTATTTGCACAGAACTAAAAGGGAAATTATCTTTGCGGTACTAAAATACGATATAATATTGCTTATACAATATCAGGGAATAAGATTAACAGGGCCCAGTAGCCAATGCTACTTGAAATTTAGCTGGGCCCCTAATTTTTTAACAGAATATTCCCATATGGTCAATACAAAATTTTCACATTTTATCAGTTGGGCCCCTGGAGTGAAATTTTAAAGCTTATTCCCTGAATATGCAAGTCAAAATTTATTTTCCAAATCAAACATAGAATAATACTTATATTATCTATCTGCAAATGTACAAAAACTGTTGGCATTTTTATAAATTTAGAAGAATGTTTGGGGGCAAACACTCCAAAAATCTCTTTTGAATAAATTGATTTTTTATACTATTTACATGTATATATATATATTTACCTATATTATCGGCGAAAATGAAATAATTTTTTTTTGCGCAAATAAAATATTGTTTGTGGCGCAAATGAAAGATTTTCTTTGTGCAAATGAAATGCCAATTGGCGCAAAAGTAAAGCACCGCAATGTCCCATACTTATTCTATTGATTTTTAATCACCAATAAACCAAATTATGACACAGTATTTTAAAAATTGCACTTATTTCCCATCAACTATTTTAATCAATTTAAAAAAGTAAATTCTCATTGATATTCTACAGATTTCATTATTAATTTAATCAAAATACTTTTATAATATTTCAAGAACACTAGGATTGCACAACATAACGGAAATGTAAACATCGGACTGAATACCTTTTTCTCGAGATTATTCTTCGTTGAATTCTTAAATTTGTGGTTTGCTGTGACCCACGAATTCCATGAAAATTGGTGTACCACCATGACCACGAATAAAAATGAATCCAGTAAATAATATTTTATACATACATTTTTCATTTGATCGATTGTCCATTGTTCAAATATATAATTAGTTAATTTGAAATTTTCAAAAATTGATAATACATTGTCACAGTACCCATTTTGCAAGAAAGCAACGGAAATCTTATAGGTTTTCTAAGAGACTAAATTTAGCAATTCATCTTTTAATAGTTGACTTTTTAGAACATTTTTTTTTACATCACTAAATATACTGTAGAGCAGTATCTGCTTACCCTTCTGGAGCACCTGAGATCACTGCATTTTTGGTGGGGTTAGAGTTGCTCAGTCTTTAATTTTCCATGTTGTGTTTTGTGTACTGTTGTTTGTCTGTTGGTCTTTTTCTTTTTTAGCCATGGCGTTGTCAGTTTATTTTGGCATGTACTAAAACGTTGAGTGGAGTGGAGTGGAGTGGTGGAGTGTTGGAGTGGAGTCATAGAGTGAACACATGGAGTTAGGAAATGGAGTGGAGAGGAGTAAAGGATTTTGGTTAAATATTGAACGAATCCATAAATCAATCACACTTCATATCAAATGAAATTGTTAACGAATTCAAATGAAAATCTCAAATGAAAATCATTTATAATTGTTTTTTTTTTCTTCTTTTTTATTGAAATTGCAAAACACGATGATTTTATCTTATTTCATTTGTCATATTTGATTATTCATCAAATTTGGACAATGTTTTGGGTAGCATTTTATGACAGCTCAGTTAGAGGTGTGATGATATTGTTTATCTAGTAATAATTTTTACTGTTCGGAATTGTAGTGTATTTCTAATGGCAGTTTTTTCTGGACTTTGTTTATCTTAATGATTATATAATGTCTCATCACAAACAATTAAAATGCATCAATCAATTCACCTTGAAGGGTAAATAATTATCTGATGAAATGAAAAACCCATCATTGTTTCAAATATCAGTGAACGAAAACGTCTGCATTCAATTGTCTCTAGACACTTTCAATTGAAACAATAACAACACCCATAAGTTATACAAATTAATTCATAAAATATATTTCTTGTAATAATCTACATATAATTATGTATGATATCTGAAACTTCAATATTGTGTATTTTATTGCTCTTCCAATTCTTATAATTTTATGGAAATAATAAACTTGAGCATTGACAAAATGTATTTAATACGATATACTAAGCAGGGAAAAGGATTAACAAGGGCCCAGTAGCCTATGCTACTAAAATTTTGGACGAGCTCACAAAACTTTTATTGAAATGCCCATAGTGCTTTTGTTAATTTTCACATTGTGGCAGGTTTAGCCCCTAGTTAAAAAAATGTATGTCTTATTCCCTGCAAAGTCTGTCAGAGTCAAACAGAAGCAGAAAAGAGCTTTGGACGCATGAAATTTATGTAACGTATTGTTTTCATTTTTTTAATAATATTTGATAACTAGTGACTGAAAAATCATCTAGTCAATAAAGATATTAAAATTATTAATATTTTTGTTAACAAGGGACCAATATATAATAAAACTTAATTATCAATCAACATTTTCACTTTGATTTTATCATGTTAATTTAATGACTGTACTTTTTAAAATATTTTGTTTCTTCCAATTATAAATAGATAACGACAATGTCTCTAACCACCGTCACCTGTCAATAGAACCCATAAAACTGTCATTACTATAATATTACTATAACAGTATAACTCTAATTTTCGGACGTGACCTAAATGTTTAAAAGATTATCCCATGAATCTGATGTGCTACATTTCATGTGAATGACAAGATTCTTAAATATTGAAATGTATAAAAAAAATCATTAATTGATCATCATCGAATAAAACTATATAATTTATGTCAAACAGACAAATTTTTTATTCTTGATTTAAAATTAACTTAAATGAATGATATATTGATCTCCATAGATAAATAGATCCTTTACCAAATAAGCAAATTCATATCTTTTGCAAATGAAACATACAGAAACCAAGTGTCGTTTTTCTTGCAAAGAACTGTTCTGTTTATGCTGTTGTTTTGTATATACTTGAAGTTTATAACTTAAACTTTGCTTTGCAAGTAAAAATATTTACACCAGAATGTTGTTAACTAAGGTAAAATTGCTGAAAGGCCCCCTCCTAAGTTATAGATATCTATCATTTAACATTAATCATAATATTTTGGGGTGTAAATTAGATACACCTACTCAGGCTAACGCCCTCGTGGTGCATCTTACACATTTCAGGACATCTTTAAATGTGTGTGCGACCTAGACTGCATGTTTGGAGATATAACCTTAAATCATACCTATGACACATCCAAGGTGAATTATATTGGTACAATGTACATGAATGCAGTTGGACGTTGTTGAGACCAAACATCCAAATTCATTCTATGATTTTTAAAGCTATAAAAACATATCTTATAAATTGGTTTAATTTTAAAACTATTGACCCAACAACTCAACTACACTCCATTTTCTAACTTTCATGTTTTCACTCCATGACTCCACGCCACCACTCCACTCCAGCACTCCACTCCACCACTCCACCACTCCACTCCACTCCACTCAACCTTTTAGTACATGCCGTTTATTTTCGATTAGTTTGAATATCCCTTTGATATCTTTCACTCTCTTTTAAAGTAAAATTTGTGAAAACGTAACGCGAGACTTTCACATAATGTTGACTTATAAAAATAAGCAATTCAAATGTGTCTGTGGCATTAATTTCTTACAAAATGCATTTTGAGCATGGAATTTTGTCGAATTGATCTAAAATGTGGAGAAATAATATAAAATATCAGTTACATGTATTCAATTTTATGGATTTGTTGTAAAGCATGTGTGATTTAAATACTCTTCATTACCATAATTACAAAATCTTGAATCATATAGAGGGTGGTTCAAACCAATTTTTTATGAATAAGTATGGATTCAAAATTAAATTTGTGGAACTATGCAGTAAACAAGGATACATGTACATCCACAAAATAAACACAGAATTGAAACTTTTGTGGGTTTCTCAAATAAACAAAGTTGAAAAAACTGTCAGCATTTCAGTACCATTTCAACGTGTTCAAGAATATGTTCTACTTTCTTTTTCTTATCTTTGAATATTGTTTATTTTGTATAATACAAAAAGTAAATTACAAGCAAAGATAATATGGACAATTATTGTTGACTGTCAGGATTACTCTCAAGTAAAGTTCTTTTATTGGTTATCAAATTTGATACTGCTTTGTGTAACTTTGTTATATCTCTAAAAGAATCTGAACGCGCAGAGATACACAATAAATTTGTTTTCCACAAGAATGTCTATAATCTGGCTATTTTTAGTAACAATGTCATTATGGAAAAACCGTGGAAATGTATGTAAAAGTGGGGATGAGCTGGCCATTTCATAGGTTGACATAGCCTTTATAAAGCTTACCAAAACTTTCTTGAAAACATTAATTTTACAGTGAATCTCTTCTTAGCTTGGAAAACCCAGAAATCTTGTTGTTTATGTCCGTATACGACCATATGGGGAAAACCAGATTTGGAGTACCCACGCCCTCTAGCGTTTGATGAATCATTATCACAAGCATGCTTTATGTAATTCATTGGTAGTTTAAATTCTTAGTCATTTAAATGATTTATTTCAAGGGGACAGCACTCTTACGATTTTCAATTTAGTGTTCTTTGCTGCAAAACTTTATTTCAATGATACCAAACATGTAAACAAATGCATTAGTGAGCTTTTTAAAAACTTTAAAAATGTATACAAAACAAAAAAATCAAATCATCACACACATATCCTGTGGATTAAGTGTTAAGTTCGTCTTTTAATTTTCAACTATATATAAGTCTATGGTCAGATCATATGTTTTCGTAGGTCGTATTATGCATGCTTTTCAATGGAAATTGTGACGTCACTATGCATTCTTAATAGCACGAAAACGCATAATACGAGGATATATAACCTCAGACTGGGCTGGGACTAGTCCAAAACAATGAGGAACATTGGTGAAGATTATCCCCACTTAATTACAGGTGGCGCTGTGGTAGATCAGGTCCAACAACATCTGTTTGTATGATAAGGAAGTCAGCATGCATTCATTGGCATGATACACATACATGTGTATGCTGATAATTTAGTCTTAATAAAGATGTTTTGTTTTAATTTTTATTTTTATAACTATTTCAAATATTTTAATGATACAATATAATGTCAAAAGTTTTGTAATTGAACACTGCCTGAACTAAGAAAAACAATTGAAATTAAGAGGTGCAGATGTAACAAGAAGACAATTAAGAGAGTTGATTGAAGGATAGGTTTAAAATATATTTATAAATATAAATATAAATTCATTATTATCATGTCTTTCTTCATTAAAAACTAATGGAATATAGAGAAGTTTTTAGAAACATGTATTCATTACTGAATATTTAATTAAATTTATTTACAAAAATATTCAAATTATAATGAATTTTTCGTTTTGGTTTTCATTGGAATTAATTTCATAAATGTATTAATTAATTAGACTTTGTAATTAGAATTAAAACTATATACATCTATATGACAAATTATAAACCAAATCTAGCTTTATAAAAAATTGATGGGTTTTTCAACAAAAAAACTATAAAAAAAAATATCTCTCAGGACTCTTAGTTAAGAATATTTGACAGAAAGCAAAATTTGGACTTGACTTTGTACATTTTACATCAAAACCAACAGAGGTAAATCTGGACCGAAAGCAAAAAATACAAGGTACTACAGTTTAGCAGTTGTACAACAATATACCTGAAATACTTGCGACTGGGAATCGAAAATGACTTATTGTTTGTCAATTCAAAGTGTTATACTTAAGTGAAAAGAAAAATCTCATACAAAGTTGATGTTTTGCGAAAAAAAAGAGACCTCTTTATTATTGTGTCCAATTGTGACTGTGCTGCTGGTATAGTCACAACGGCTCATAGTAAACATGTATAAATGCAGTTCGTTTTGGTATGACAGTTTGTTTTTTTCAAGGAGTTGAGGACAGAGAAAACTTGATCACAACATTTGCTTCTCCAGGTGAATTAACCGAAAACAATATAGTATCAGTAATCAAATGCCCATATACATTCCAAAATGAACTGTTCACACCTAAATCTGTTCCTTACTTGTCTGAGGTAAATGGGGAGTAAGTGTTGAGCCAAAAAACATCATTATACTTTCAACTACAATGAAAAATGTTTTGATCTAGAAAACAAGCATGTGATTTTTTTGTGTACATATTTAAGATCAGAAATTAATATCAAAGAAATTAAAAATGTGTAGCTGAAATGAAAGATGTTTTAACTTTTTTTTTTAGAAAAATATTTAAAACATGCAGATCATATTTATTTAATTATAATGTTTTGGAATATGAATACTTTTCATTCACCAAAACTTGTTATTGATGTTTTATCACTCATGAAAAAAAAGATGATAGAAAACTACACTTCTTTTGTTAGGTGTCCATTCTTTGTGTGTTTTATCCTTTTGATTTCGTTTTATTGCAATTGCCCATTTCATTTTTTAACTTCCCATTTTTAATATGGAAACACATGTCTATCCACCTCTATTAGAACATGCAGGTACACAACAAAATGGCATTTTAGTGAATAAAAACTTATTATTTTAACTTGTAAACAAGTAATCAACACACTGTAATGCTAAATATATAGGTTATAGATAAGAGATGCTGTGCGTGTTGGACCTGATCTACAGCACTGCCACCAGTGTTATCATTAAAGGGGAATAATTGACCAATGTTCCTCATTATGACATCTTGAAAAGCAATTTTTTTTTCTGTGACGCCTAAGTCCTAAAAAGCCTATATCAAGACGTCATAATTATTTGGACTAGGTTGGGACCAATATCTCGGGTGCAGATCCATGTTTTTGGGAAAAGGGGAGGGGGCTCGCAAGCCAACGTTTGGAGTAATTCTTGTAAAAAGTCTATGCATCTATCGCACATGAAGCTCAATAAAGGGGGCGGGGCGCACCCCCTTAATCCGATTGTATATGATAAATATATTGATGAAATAGTCCCAGGACTGGGTTATGATTTATTGATAGTTAAATATTCCCAGCCTCAGATTCCATATAAAACCACATGTAATTTTTTGTGAAAACTATTGTGGGTCATTTCTGAGTCGTACCTGCCAACTTTCCTGCTTTATTGGGCATATTGGGGATATTCCCCATGAGAGGTGTTGACCTGACCTGTATAAAAAACAATTACTTAGACTAAATACTCAAAAAAAAAGGCATTTAGAGGAGTAAAAATACATTTAAACACATGTATTATAACTCATTCAAAACCATAGATTTCCTAATTAATATAGAAATAAAAAGATGTGGTATAATAGTTAATGACATGCATTAGGTATGCATTAGGTCCTCTTGTGCTAAAAATCCCACATACAATTTTGAAAAGTTTGCAGGTATGTATAGTCTCAGGCCATGGCAAGTTGGATTTTAATCAACTTCTTACTTGGTACCACTAGAAGGAGAACTGTAATATGTTTAATTTAAATAAGAAGATGTGGTATGAGTGCCAATGAGACAACTGTCCATCCCAGTCACAATGTAGAAAAAGTTAAACAATTATAGGTCAAAGTACGGCCTTCAACACTGAGCCTTGGCTCACACCCGAACAGCAAGCTATAAATGGCCCCAAAAAGACTAGTGTAAAACAATTCAAACAGGAAAACCAACGGTCTAATTTAAATAAAAAACTAGAAACACCTATGAACCACACCAACAAACGACAACCACTGAACAACAGGCTCCTGACTTAGGACAGGTGCATTAATTTGGTTCCCATTTTGTAATGAACAATTGTCATTTTCTGATGATTCAATCACAAGTTTGAAATTACGTCAGGAAATTTGCTGTAAATTCCATAGATTTAAGACTGTTTCTGATTTCAACAAAAATAAAATCATAGATAAGTATAAGTGTGTTAACATTATAAAGAAAAAACCAAAACACATGCAGACAAATCAGTCACTAAATAATCAAATATAGAGCAGAAAATTCTGCATTTTCAATACCTGATTTGTAAAACCAAACACAAATGCCTTCAAAGTAATATGTTTTTATATGAAATATAACAAGGGACTTGAAACTTCTAGTTATATTCAACAATGTTTAAGGATGTACACATCTGAGGAGTAAAACATTTCTTGAATTAAACTTTTTTTCTTAACCTGATTTTTGGTTTTATGTGACTGTAAGAAAGTAATTGATGAAGAAAAAATCATATGGTGGTGCATTTCTTTTTATGTTACGGCCATTTGAAAGTACCCCCATTTTTTATCAATTTTTACCCATTTTAGGGCTAATATCATGAAAAAAATCACAGTTTCACAATTAAACTTTTTTTCATACTTTCACTAAAGATGAAGTGGACAAATCTGAATAAATTTCACTTAAAAAAACTATAGGCTGGTTCGTGTCAAATTGACCATGCTGTCAATTTTGTCAATTTGATATTTTTCTCTTTTTTTAGATCAAAAAGCATATTTCAACTTTTTTGTTATAAATGATTGAAAAAAAACATATCTAAGAATTTTGAAAAGAAAAAAATTGATATGGGATGTACATGTATCTGGTAAAATCATTCCTTTGTACCCCTCACACATTTTCTCAACATTTTGGCTCATGACACTGATCGAATTGGTTATAAAATTCGAAAATTTGATTACTCAAAAACTACTTATTGTAAGAACACAATTTTTTTCACAGAGTTTGATTATAATATTTTTTAAATTCATTGATATTTTCCACTTGTATCACATATTTTGGAAATAATTCCCAAACAAGATTTCAACGAGTCTGAAACATCAGAAGAATACATCCTTAACTTAATTTTTTCAGTGTCCTGGGGCCCATATGTACTTATTTACTTGTAACTTTCGATCTACAGTAGAAATGGGAGTAATAGTGATAATGCAATACAATTTATGTATGTCTATTCTGCATTTTTATTGTCTTTTTAGCAGTGCATGTTATTTGTTTATTTAGATACAGGAAATGAATTATTTTATTAAAGAATGAACACCCACTTGATAAATAAAATCATTAACTTAAATTCTTTGAGAATAATGCATTTATACCGGTAAATTCTTTTTCCTGGAAAAGCATATAAAATAAAAAGTAAATGAAAAATAAATCACAACACCCTATAAGAAGTCCCCCTTCCAACCATATAAAATAATTAATGATAAATTATCAGGAAAAATGAAAATTTAAAAACGATGCACCTTTTTGAATTGAAATTTTTGAATAATTTGCTTAGAAAATGAAAAAGTTTCCAACTTTTGACACCAGAATAACATTTTAATAACGAGATAATTGAAATGAAAATTTAGCTCTAAGTACAATCATTCATCTTCAATGTCATATACTTTTCATCAATATTAATATGCAATCCTAAGAAGTGTTTGAAAAAAAGGAAACCATGGCCAGGAACAGAGAAATGCACCCAAAAAAAAAACATCCTTTTACTGCTATAAAACTTTGTGAGACAATAAATTGAATAATAATTAAGTTGCATGTCCTTTTATCTATTAGTCACAGTGTCCATGCACTATATGAAACATACAACTTCACCAGTGGAAAATCAAGAACAAAAATTTACCTCATAACCTCCTTTGCTAACACTGAAGAATTGAACTCTTCAATGTTTTTCCCTTTCTCACAAGGACGCTGCTGCATAAAAGTTCATAATTAAACATTCTGGTAAATATTAATATTGAAAAAAAATAGAAATAAAAAACATTATTACCATATAAATTATAATGTTATGATGTATGTTATCATTTCCCTTCTTATATATCAAGTGATAAGGACAGTAGGTTATATGAGTTATGTGTAAAATTGGTGTGAAATGTTGATATGGAAATAAACTTGTCAAATGCCAACCTAAATTTGTTTTTCTACTGGTTGTATTTGTCACTGGATCACACTAATTCTGGGTATATATCAGCAGCTAGTCCAGATATTTAAAATCAGTTAAGGTAATGTGGATAATCTATTCAGAGGATTGTAATTAACTTAATATAAAAATAATTATCACACATTTTGTACTAATATGTATGTTTTTGCATGGTCAATAATAGCCGGAAGTCAAGGTTGGTTATTTGCCCTTCAGGGGCCAATATCGATAACAGCCCTCGAAAACCCATATCGTGCCCCCGAATTTGACTTCCGGTAACCTGTCAATCAAAAACATTTTTAAAATTTTTTTCTTCAAATGTTTTTTGAATTTTAAATTGTTGAAAATATTAAAGATAATTTTGATATATGCTTTCTTTTTTCTCATACTTGAAAATATGTGATAAATAGATTATTACATGTCATTTTCCATAAAAACCCTGGTATCAACCCTCAACCCATATTATTATTATTATTATTATTACAATTTTTCTATAGCGCTAAATCTAAAACAATATTACTCAAAGCGCTTTACATCACATGTTAAACAAAAAATATACACACAGACAGTGATAAAAATATAAAACATGAACACACAAAATAAATATTTAAGTGTTAAAACTTTTCTAGATAAAAGGATTAATAATGTGGAAATTTTTACAAAAAAGTGGAATATATATATCAATGAATCAAAATAAAATTATACTGAATAAAGTTGGTAAAATAAATAGCCAAAAAAGTCTAAAATAAGATTGCTATTAAAAATTATCAAATATAAGTTAAAAATTTGAAAACGTATTCAAAAGATGAAAAAGGAATATTACCATGTAAAAATATAATTACTGAAATGAAAAAAATATGTGTGCTACTAAAAACATACAATGTACATATTATAAATGAAACATATCTCCAGTTAAAAGAAAGGTTCGATAAATCAAAAGCAGGCTAACGTCTATGGCACAATGTATCACAGAAACGAATTTAAGGTTGCTTTTTTTGCTTGATATGGGAGTCTAGGGCTGATACCAGGACCAATATGGAAAATGCCATGTAATAATCTATAAGGAGATTAGGTATGATTACCAATGAGACAACTACCCACCAAAGTTCAAATAAAGTGGATGTAAGCAATTATTAACTGTTTAAGTTACAAAATGTACTAGTGGATTTATTTTATGAAGGAAAAAAGATTTTAAACACTATGTGATTATAAGTTAGAATAAGACTAAAAAAAAAAATTGTGTCATTGGTTTATATCAGCAATGTCTCAAACAAGTATGAAAATCATTGCAGATCAACTATTTTTAAAAGAGTTCTTCCCCTTGGAAATGTATATTTTATAGAAAATTGCAATGTAAGCACGCTCAAGCCTACATTTCTTGTAGAGTTCATGGTTTTTATGAAATTTATATAAAAGGTTTATGCCAGGGGTGCATTTTCCCTTTCAGGTTTTTAAAAATATTTTTAGTACTTTTATCATTTTCAGATTTCATATTCTAATTTTGCAATCAAAAGATTGTTTTCCATTAGGATTATATTTATTTACAGTTTTCTTATTTAATTTTAATTAGAAAAGTTCAATTAAAATTAAATAAGAAAACTGTAAATAAATATAATCCTGATGGAAAACAATCTTTTGATTGCAAAATTAGAATATGAAATCTGAAAATTTATAAAAAATATTAATCTTTATGTTTGTCCTCTTGGCTAGTGACTTTTGTAACCTCTCTCCCTTGTTTTGTATATATTGTAAATAGTTATTGTTGTTATCTCTGTACTGATGTTATGCATTGACTTCATGAGAATAAAGATAGATACATATATATATAAAATAATAAAAGTACTAAAAATACTTTTAATAACCTGAAAGGGAAAATGCACCCATGACATATATTAGAAATGTCTGTGACAAGCTTGAAAATCAGTGCTGATCAGTTATTTTGTTATCCCTTAGCAATGTAAATTTCTTTGGGAAATTGCATTCTAAGCACTCTCAAGTAAACAATTCTGGCCAGATATTTATAAAATTTATATCATAGGTTTAAAAAAAAAATGTCTTGGAATTGTTCAAAAATCAGTGGGGTCAACAATTTTTAAAAGAGTTATGTCCTTGGAAATATACATTCAATTGAAACTTGCATTGTAAGCGCTCTCAAGTGTACAGTTCTTGTCAATGTCAGGCATTTATGAAATGAATATCAAAGGTTTATTTCAGCAATGTGACGTCTTGGACAAGTTCAAAAAACAGTGCAGATCAACTATTTTGAAAAGGGTTATGCCCCTTGGAAAAAGAAATATGTAAATGGAAAATAGCATTGTTAGTGATCTCTGGCCTACATTTCTTGTGAGTTAAAAGTTAAAAGACAATTTTTTTTTTTAGTTATTGCCCCTTGAGTCTTGGACAGGTAAAATATGTGCAAAACAGGGGACATTTGAACACTTTTTTTATTTTTCTTGTCTTTAATATGTAGTTGCATAAACTCTCTTTGTTTGTGATTGGGTTGCTTCCCTTATTACACCAACAACGAAGCAATTTTATTTTGGATTATTAATCTCTTTATATTTATATTACTGTTAAAAAAAGACAATATATCTGTTTAGATGTAATTTTATCATACATCAAATTTGAAATCCCTCTCCTTGGCAGTATAGTATTTGGAAAAGAATAAAAATTACTTTTTTTGAAATTTGGTGAAATTATCTGATGTCACCTGTATAGTGGAAAGGGGGGAACTCTGTTTTTGACTCCATATCACATATTTGACCAACACCTTGAGATAATATGGATGATACACAATATCGATACCTAAGAGAAGAAAGATCTGTTACACTTATAAAGATATACTACATTTTGCATACTAAGGTAATACAGTCAGAAATAGCAGCATACCCAAGGTTACTAGCCTGTCATATGCCTTCTTATAATCTTGAACATATAAAATGAAAATAACACTTTATCAATTTATGTGTCCGAAGTATCTTAAGAAGTGTCTTGTATCAAGTACTACTCGAAGTATCTTAAGAAGTGTCTTGTATCAAGTACTACTCGAAGTATCTTAAGAAGTGTCTTGTATCAAGTACTACTCGAAGTATCTTAAGAAGTGTCTTGTATCAAGTACTACTCGAAGTATCTTAAGAAGTGTCTTGTATCAAGTACTACTCGAAGTATCTTAAGAAGTGTCTTGTATCAAGTACTACTCGAAGTATCTTAAGAAGTGTCTTGTATCAAGTACTACTCGAAGTATCTTAAGAAGTGTCTTGTATCAAGTACTAATCGAAGTATCTTAAGAAGTGTATTGAATCAAGTACTACTTGTGTGCCTGGATAAGCTGATGATATGAGCTGCTTACTTCCCATTTAAAATTTCTCGAAATGTTTCATAGAAATTTAGATCTTTTTTATTGGAAACTGATTAACATGGCATGATATACAGTGAATTGTTGAAACATGTCTATTTTTTATCAGTTGTTTGGTGTTTTAAATGTTGATATTTGAATATTTCTGTTGATTTAATAAAAGGTTATTTTTATTGACATTTACAGTGTTTTGTCAATATTTTTCCTGGATTGATTAAAGATTTGAACAAATTGAAAAATAACAGATACATTAACAGCTTGATGTTCCATTTATCTGGTCAATGGATGATACCTTTGGGAGAATATAGGCAACAGTATATATATATAAAAATAAAAAGATGTGGTATGATTGCCAATGAAACAACTCTCCACTAGAGACCAAATGACATAGAAGTTATCAACTATAGGTCACCATACAGCCTTCAATAATGAGCACTTACTTTGTTTATCTGAAATGTTGCTAGTACGGTCCAGTATGTTGGGGAAATTAAAAAAAAACAAACACAAAAACCAATATTGGATCTACATGTAGTGCTAGTATCAGTTTATTATGAAAACATATGTTTGCTTTTGGTTTTGTGAAGTTTGTATAGAGATTTTGTGTCAAGAATTAATACAATATATTCTTTCTTTTCAATGTTGTTGCATTGTAAGTCAAACATGGGGTGGGGTTTGATATTTTGGTGCAATATGTCAGTTTTGCTATGCAAAAAGAATACATTGTATATGAAATTGTATGTAATACAAAAATTTAAATTAATGTCTATTATATATTATTCCTAGGTGCAACGAAATTTGCCATATTATGTCATGTGATGTACATAAGTGCTTTCATGAAAACACATCTTTAGGTAAGTATAGACATGCAAGAGGGTAGGCAAGACCGTCATCATTAGGCCAAAAAAATATATACTTGTTTCCTGTCTACTGGTAGAAATAAATCGGGAAGGTTGGTAGGTAAAATGATTTTATTTATTAGAATATTTTAAAACTTTGAATTTTCAAAATACTAAGGATTTTCTACCTTTGAAATAGATTACCTTAGCTGTATTTGGCTAATCCTTTCAGATTTTAAGGTCCTCAATGCTCTTCAACTTGGTCCTTTATTTGGCCTTTTTAACTTTTTTGATAGTTTTTTGTAGATGAAACGCTTGTCTGGTATGCAAAATTTTAATCCTGGTATCTATGATGAGTTTATTTACATAGACTATATAGGGAAATTTTAGACTTGAACAGTGCTTTACAAAAAAATGTTTGACTTTAACAGTGCTTAACCAAAAATGCCCATTAAATGTAATGGGGTAGGTTTTAAAAGTTTGGGTTAGTAGGGAGCGGGAAACATAAATATTTTGTTTTGCCTTGATTACCCAAAACCTTCTTTTCACTACCATTAGCATGAAATGAACCAAGAAATGTTTTCTTCACTCATCACAGTATATTTTTTGGCTACTATTAGCTTCAAAGGGAAAACAAATTTTTTTCCCATTCCCACCCTCATGTGCCTCATGTGTAAGGTACATGTCCTGAAAATTCAGAAATAATTGTGTGCAACTATCAATTTGATCAAAAACCAAGATAAATTAATGTGATTCCTGGAAATGCTGCTTACTACGTATATACAATGCTAAAACAATTTAGAATAAGACTTTAAACTATTGGCATGTTAATTTATATCATTTTGCATTTTTTGCCAAAAAAACATCATGCAAATAAAGGTATCTAGTTTGTATCTTTTGTAATAGTATTATAAATTTACATTTTACAGATAAAAAAAACATCAGTTTGAGGATTTTGTGCTGGTCCTTGTTCCCTAAAACATTTGTATGGAATCTCCATTTATTGGTATAATGTTGCCAGTCCGTACATTGTAAATCAGCTGTTTGAAACAGCAACACAATTTTAAGTCTTAATTGTTGACCTTTATGTTTATAAGTTTATTGCCCTTGCTCAAAATCTTATTTTTGCAAGGTTTCTAAGCAATATAATTATTAGGGATTCTATCATATTGAAAAGTTACCAGGCATTGGTTAACTGTCGTCTGTAATATAAGTAGATATAATATAATTGTGAGTCCAATTCTAGATTGAAGTTCTGAATCCTGTTTTATTAATCTATAGACTGGATAAAGAAAGATAACCCTGACATTTTATCACTTATTAAGTGAATATTTTGTATTTGAAAATACAGATAGATCATTAAGATTTAAAAAAATGGATAAAAGTCCAAATAGAATTATTGATATATGACCAAAGGACAACAATGTGAAAAGTTATAGGTCATCAGAGGACCTTCAACTAATGCTGGCTGAATAGTCCTAAGTAGTTCATATAAGGTGATCACTGATATGCTGCACATCTCTGAATTTAATTAAGTTATGATCAAGTACTTTTATTAAATGTCTGACTTTTGTCTGTAAATGATCTACAGTCATAAGTCTGACAACTATACCCACAAAAAGTTTGTCATTCTGATAATTTTTTACCTTATTTTATGCTTTACCAATTTTGTTTAATTTTATTCCTGAGCTCAATTATCATTATGGGTACAACAACTTTTTGAGTTTCTGAGAGTCAGGAAGGGGTTTGCAGACTAAATAATGATGGCCTGAAAAATTAAAGAATACATTTGTAAAAATTGGGATTGGGGAATTAAGCTCTCCTTTCATTTACAAACTTATAAGAGTTGACTATTCCAGAGATATGAGAATTTAATCTTCAAATTTGAAATAATTTGTTCATGCGTGTCACAGACAGGAAGCAGTATGGTATACTGCTGTCTATCAGTTCACATAGTGTGCAATTTTAGATAGTTCTTTGATCAAATTTCATGAAACTTATATGGAATATTATAATTATTATAATTAGGTTAGATGGATGATTAGAAAACTCCCTTTTGGTTGCATGGGAAACTTAAATTGTTGGAATGAAACTCATTTAAAGCCTTCGACAATATTTCATTGTTATGTTGCAACAATTTCAATATGCAAACAACAGGCTCATCTTTGGTTCCTAGTACAGCTGTTTATTCAGATGATTTAATCTTTATTCATGTACGTTTGTATATTCAAAAAGCATCTTGGAGAAAGTGTCCCCTATTACCAAAATAGACATTTCATGTGATCACATTTTTATATGATAACGTTTTGAGTTTAAATTTTTTCTTGAATATAAAGCTTGCTAATTAAATTCAAAAGATTGTATTATCTAAATTATGTATATTTTAACAAAGGAATTGGATAAAGACACAGCTGCCTATTTAAATCCTTTCTCATACAAATTCCTAAAATGATGTTTAGTGATTACATATATTTCAAAAGTTTAATCTGAGATTGTGTCCAAGTGAACCAGGGGAAGCAACCCTTGCTCAAATATATGTTCATATTGATTTAATCATCTTCATTCACTTTTTTATTTATGTGCTCCTGGGACCTTGAGGGTACAGTTTACAAACATATAAAATGCTTTTTTTTTTAACATTTCTTACCAAATCTATAGTCCTGTGCTTCATTGACTATAAAGATTTAGACTGAAATTTGTTCTACTTGGTGTCTAAATTAATCTACCAGTAACTTTCTACCACATCAGTATTTCAAGATACTCTTACCTGTGTTAATTTTAATTATAAATCACATATGCTGCAAGTCCCTTAATTTCTTGTTATTACTGTAAATTCAGAAATTATTGCGTTGTTTTTATTATTGCGAAAAATGCACCAGGGTTATAATTGCAATAATTTAAACTCGCATTTTGAAATTTTTTATATGAATTAAACAGGATTTTTCTCAATATCACAAAAATTTAAATCGCATTTTAGTCTAAAATGACAAAATCGCAATAATAAATGCACGCAATAATTTCTGAATTTACAGTATTTTGTTTTGTAATAAAGTTGAGGAATACATATTCTCTCTCAGAACAGTTTTTTTTTAAATGGAAAAAATAAAAAAAGATATTAAGAGATCGAGGGATATGAAGGAAGGTTTTCTTATTTTTAGAACTGATGATATGCATTTTTAGTTTTATAGATCAGCTTATGCTTATTTCCTTAGAAATCAAAGTATGCTGTAAGTTTAGTGAAGGTAGATGACCATAAGTCAAAGGTTGAACATTGACCTAGATTTTTTATTAGTTCCTTACATACATCAGACTCCATTTAATCTCTGTTGGATAATTGTCTAACTGGTTATCATACCACATTTCCTTATATTTATAAATCTACATCTGCAGAGGCTTTGATGAGATCCGTTATACAAATTTATATCATTATCTGAATCCGGGAACGGCAAAAATGATTCCCACACCCCACCCATAGATTACTGTACAGTACTTATTTTCTCTGATTTTGAACAAATTTTTAATGATATTTCTACACTTTAGTTGTTTTATATTATTTAAGTAGCTTGACATAATCAATTTGGTAAAGATAATTTATTCTGTCTGGTCAAATTCAGTTATTAGTAAGTGATATCCTGAGGTGGGATTGTCTTGAAGTTAGTTAAGGTAGGGTATGTTGAATTATTAAAAATTGGTGTCTTAATTAAAATGAAGAATTTCTAAATACATGTCTAGCTGTCTAGGAATAACTTTGTATGTATTTAAATTTTACATATAGCTTACAACATTTAAGTGTCAGTTTCAAAATAAAATTTCAAGAATGTTTATTATTACTCTATACTTTAAGTGTTTAAAAGCATGATAAAACTTAAAGCCATTGTTTTAAATGTTTTAAGTGGTTTATATTGAACACATAAAGTGGATTTGATATTTCTTTCATTGTAGATAATCCCAGCTGATTATTCCTCTGTGTAAACATGAGGTTATCCTGTTATCAACAGAAATTTGATATGGTGAGAGATATATGTTTACACTTGATTGGTCAGACCTCACTTGACCAGGCAAGGAAGAAATGCCACAAGTGTATAATTGTGTAAGTATTTATATATATATACATGTACATGTGTGTATTCTAACTGGGAGATGCCCCTTCTATAGAAAATTTTCATGGGTCAGTTTGCTACATGTATATAAACTATTTTGTCTTATTTTTAGCAGTTAAAATTTATAGTTTTGAAACAATTGAACAATCCAACTGAATCCAATCTTTATACTGATTATTCCTAAAGTGATTTTTAGGTAGATTGGATACTCTGTAAGATAGTAAGTCATTTTTGGTAATTATTATACAAAACAAAAAATTACTTAAAAATGAAATAATAATTACAGATAGAGAAATATGGAGATTTTCTGTGAAGTGTCGGATTTAATCTTTTGTAAAGACTGATGTGGATAAAAAAGTTTACTTATTGATAAGTATTTGATACACACATCAGAGGGTTAGCCTGATTGGGTGTATCTAATTTACACCAAGATATGATGGTTAATGCAAGAAAGAGCTTTCAATAATTTAGGAGGGAGGGGGTCTTTCAGCAATTTGATCTTATTTTTGTGTAAAGCATGATAAATGCAGAATATCCAATTACATTTAATGACAACTTCTGTGTAAATAGAGAATTCCTATAAATAGAGGAAGATCTCATCCCAGATAAAGAATTATATAATTTTCTTAGTATTGTTAATGACAGTTTTCTGTACAAACCTCTGGCATGTAAGTTCATTCCTGCCATATGTCCCTCAAATTAAAATTACGCAATAAAAATGCACGGACTTACTGTACAACTTGATTGTATCTTTTAAGATTTATCTAATATAACCTAAATGTAATTAGTACTACCAGTATACAAGTTGTATGTCATGGCAGGGTTATTCATCTTTTTTATACATGTCGTTAATTTCTTAATTTCAGCAAACTTTTTTATTTCATTTTATATAATTTTGTCAGTCATTTATCAATAATAAAATTTAATCATGAGAAAATTACTTTTTTCATTTCCAATAGTAAGTGACAGAATGTCATATTTATTTCTAATAAATTCAATTTCATTAAATTAATTTGAATAACTTTTATTAGGTGTCATACAGGTTGAACAAATTTCATTAAAGAAGGGGAAAATTTTACAATTGTAACCCTGTTTCTCTATTTGAGATATTGACACAATGTAGATTTAAATTTACAATAAATTACCAGAGTTTATAAATATTTACAAATCTGACAAGTTCATATCACCTTTTCTATATTGACAGAACTTACATATGTATGACTTAATTGGATAGGTTACATGTGATTCGTATTGAAAGGTACATGTAAATCAATGTATTTAATATTAATTTTTGTGGTTGGGTTTTTCATTGTTTATATTTCACTTTAGTATGAAGAGAGGGATGACACATTTTTGAGATGGGGGATATATCGGGTAAAAAAAAAGTAGGAATGTGGAATTTAGGGGATAAAAAAAAGTGGGGATGTGGGATCTGCAAAAAAGAAGGGGAAAAAATTACAACAGAAAAAACGGAATTTGGGAAATGAGCATCCCCATGTCACACCTAGTTTTGTGGTAGCTTGCTCACCTGTGTGGAGGAGTTATTGTGTTTGTTCCTCAGTGTGTACCAAACCAAAGTCATTGATATTGTTGTTTGCTTGTTCTTTGCTAAGCTCAACTCAAAAAACAAAAAAATAATTTGCCTGGATTGCAGGAGTAAATGGGTTTGTTCCTCAATGGTCCAATTGTTAAAAGTGATATTGTTATTTGCTGCTTCTTTGCTAAGCTCACCTTGCAAAAACAAATAATAATCATCACTTGTTGTCATACTAAAGTTTCCCTGCAGGGTGTTGCCCACACACATAGCCAGGGGGTTCAAGGGGTTTGGTTACCTTATGATGTACCATATTTAAAACCAAACTCAGCATGTCTAGGTCAATCCAAAGGTATTTTTATGAGAAGGTAGCACACTAGTAGCCTAAATATGCATATAATATTTGCCATTGGAAATTAAGCCCTATAAGTCAATCAATACAACATTGAATTAAGAATTGTCAGCTTGTCAGAGGTGCATCACTTTTTTCAAATATCCAGTAATATGGACTGACCTTCTAGAATGTTCATCTTGAAGAAGTGTATTCATGTTTAATATGATACATGTATTTCATAGTCCATATGTATTTCTATACTACACTCTTGATATGAATACATTGTTTCATAAAAAAGACAGTTTTCAGAGAGTCTCTTAGATTTATTCACATCTATCCTAGACTCTATGCAATTTGAAGTTTTACGTGTTGTATTGACACTTATGTTTTGTTGCAGACCAAGTGTTCACCTAAAGATGTCATTGGGATTTTTGTTGTCGGGTTGCTTTTTCATTTACAGACACTCGATCCACATCTATTCATATGAAAATGTTCTCAAATTTCCCTGAAAGTTAATTTTTATGAGAATCATAAGTATGTTATTTTAGAAACGTCCATGAGAAGGTCATTTGTTTTAATAAGAGTATACCAGTATCATATCTTCTCATGAACTCTTAACCCTTGTAATGTATGGTTTTGTTTTACTAATTATCCTCAATATTTGATAGCCGATTCAGTTATAATTTTAATGTGTTGATTTATGAAGTGGGTTTTGACTTCCATACACTTGTAATGGGGATTAATGAGCCATTTCCTTTGTGTATACTTTAGTCAAAATATTTATTAGGTTTGACATAATACAGTTTATAGCTTTAATAACCAGGCATCTTTATAATTAACTGTTTTGATAAACCATAAGCTATGTTGCCTGTTCAAGAATAATTTCATAAATTGCTTGATTGAATAATTTTTGTCTATTGGAAATATGATATTGTAATTTGAACACAAAAAACAAGACAGTGAATATAACTTGATCTTGGTAAGATTTTTTTTTATCAAATTTAATTAGTTTTTGTCGTCATTGATGAAAATTTATATTTCATTCTTTTGTTTGAAAAAAACGAACATGGGCTTTGAAGTGTTTAAAAGTAATAATTATTATCACTGTGTGGTCAAAAGACATGGAAATACTATAGTATTATTATCTTTATTTGAACGCTAAATATGTTTTACGTGAAGTCTTACTGGTACATCCTGTATCCATTGTACCCAGAATAGGTCTTATTACACTTTTGCATGTACGAAAGATAATTTTTTGATAATTTTTACAAGTTGAAAATGATTTATGGTTGGTATACATGGAATATAGAGGCTGAAAAACAAATTTTGTGAGGAATTTTATTTCATTTTTAGAAGAGAATCTTCACAAAATTGAACTTATAATCATTATATTTTAATGTAGCAAAATATCCTTATGATATTTTCCCACATTTAAATGTGCTGTATAATTTTTGTTAATCTTCCAAAATAGTTGTCAATGAAATTACATGAATACTTCAGATCACAAACCATGAAGTTTTACATGTGAATATAGTTTAACATAGTTTAACATAGATATATCCTTGAATTGTCTCCCTTGGTATGATCATATAAAATGCATAAAAAAAGAAATATGGGGATTACATAAGTGAGACAGGAGCTCTGCAGCACAACAAACCAAAATAGGACATATGGTCAAGATTGAAAATATAAAAATTTATAATATATGTAAAAATATTTTATGGCATCCTGATTTACCAGTAAGAAATATATAGATTCCACCACTGCAGCAAGTGTGTTACGATATTTCTGCACTCGAGACAGTTAAATTTTAACTGTTGAGAGTGGAGAAATATCGTAATACATGAGGTATAGTGGTGGAATCTGTTTCTCGAATGACTTTTATCCTTCCTTTTCAAAGATTTGTAGAAAGTTGTCATCCTTATATGTGACGTCATCAGGCATGGTCGCCTTTTTCCATGACGTCACAATAGGAAATTCAGAAGAAACCAAGAAAATTTGACGTCATATATAAATTTCTACCAATCATTTGCCGAGAACAGATATTTCACTAGTGAGGAGAACAATTTTTTCACAATCGGTTGGGAAATGTGAAAATAGTGAAAAAATTAGAGAATCAGCTTTCCTGTTCTGTTCTGGCAGAAGACAAAGGAATACAAAGCAGTTTATTGGTCTTTGATATACTAATAAGGAGATAACTGTATTGTATTTTAAGCTTGGCCTTTGTAAAACATAGATTTTACTGTCTTCCTTAGCGACACGTAGCGGAACTAGGTAAACAGATATTTGTGACAGTAAAATCAAGTTTTATGAAGTCCAAGCTTAAAATACAAGACAGTTTTCTCCATTCTAATGCCACATATTGAAATAAATTCCATTTAAGTAAATATTTTTACTAAAAAATGTCATTAATGAAAAAGTCTGCAAAACTGTTACATCGTCTTTGGCATCTTAACAATGTGACATGATAGGTATACTCCTGATGTCAAACATAAACATTAAGACATATTTATACTTTTCTACGTGTCTGAATGGTTTAAATATTGACTTTAAGAAGATTTTGAGGCACAAAATGTGACTTTTTTGTTTATTTTTTGAGAAATTTTATACCCCAAAAAAAATCGGATTCAAAATGGTGGCTTTCATTAGTTATGGACTGGTAGAACGTGGAATCTAACCCTTCACAATATTTGTCAATGTCCAATGAAAATTATAGTTCTAATCGAATTGCATTATAATGACAAATTCTGTTCATTTAATAGGGTACTTGTTTTATCCATATTTGTATTATTTACTATTTTCATTAGGTTTTTCTACATGAATTTGATTTTGAACAAAGCAGAGTATTCACCGAAAGAAAATGTTGGAAATTGATATGCTCCATCCAAAATGTCAAGTTTCAGATGGCATCCTTTATCCTTATTGATATAATCCCTTTATTTTCTCTTAATATGTATTATTAATGAAATATTTACAGCCAAAAAACTTTCCACATAAGATTTTTTTATTTTTGACATTTATTTGTTCACCAGACAATGATATTAACACCATAGGTGGTTTAATACACTACAATTTAAAGGTACTTTGACCAGGTACATGTCAACATTGTGATTTTTTTGATAAATTTAACTCCATAATACATAATGTTACATGATGTTTACAATCTTTGATCAGGTCCCCATTCAATGTTATTTTGCTATTATGTCAGCGGTATGACTGTGATAAATTACTTTGGCCAGAAAATTTGTCACCTGTACAATTACCATAATTAGATAAGATCTAATGAGTAGGGACAGGTATTTCAAAGGTGAAAATTAAGGTTGAAAGGTTAAGTTATCTATTATATTTGACATAACCCGCTATAATTCAGTGTCACATACTAAATGTCAGAAATTTCTTTTAAATTTTATTTCTACCTTTTAAATACATATAAAATATATGTTGATTTTTATTAACTCTGACTGTATCTTAATTTTAAAATGTAGAAAGAAATATATGGGGATTCTATTACAAGTTATTAAAAAATATTTAAAAATTTATAAGTTTTTTGTTTCTTTTTTTTTTGCAAAAGACACAAATTTTGAAGATTAAAAATGCAAATATTATTTATTTTTTTCTTATTTTTAAATTTTTTTAGTTAATGAAATTTCTTTTTCAATATTTTTTCTAGGTTTAGTAGTTTTCCCAAAACATTCCATATAAGGAAATTAGATTAAATAGATGGTTACTTGGTCACGATACTGCTACCTGATGTCAAAATTTTACTTTTTATATCTTTTATTATTATGAAAATGTCTTTTTTTATTGCAGATTTCCACATACACCTTATGTCATTTCTCACTTTTTATGTATATTATTCTTATTAAAATGCCCTTATTATTGCAGATATTATTTCATACTAATAAAGACAACTTACAAACACAAAGGTTAGTAAATATATTGCATGTATATAAATTTAGCTGTGCTTCGCTTTTGCACCAATTGTCATTTCATTTGCGAGCAAAATGTCTTTCATTTGCGCCAATAATACAGGTCAATAGCATAAATGATAGATCTGTATTGAAAAGAGACTTTTTTAGCTCACCTGGCCCGAAGGGCCAAGTGAGCTTTTCTCATCACTTGGAGTCCGTCGTCCTCGTCGTCGTCAGCTTTTTACAAAAATCTTCTCCTCTGAAACCACTGGGCCAAATTTAACCAAACTTGGCCACAATCATCATTAGGGTATCTAGTTTAAAAAATGTGTCCGTAGACCCCGCCAACCAACCAACCAAGATGGCCACCATGGCTAAAAATAGAACATAGAGGTAAAATGTAGATTTTGGCTTATATCTCTGAAACCTAAGCATTTAGAGTAAATCTGACATAGGGTAAAACTGATTATCAGGTCAAGATCTATCTGCTCTGAAATTTTCAGACAAATCTGACAACCTGTTGTTGGGTTGCTGCCCCTGAATTGGTAATTTTAAGGAAATTTGCAGTTTTTAGCTCACCTGACCTGAAAGGTCAAGTGAGCTTTTCTCATCACTTTGCGTCCGTCGTCCGTCGTCCGTAAACTTTTACAAAAATCTTCTCCTCTGAAACTACTGGGCCAAATTTGACCAAACTTGGCCACAATCATCATTGGGGTATCTAGTTTAAAAAATGTGTCCGATGACCCCGCCAACCAATCAAGATGGCCGCTGTGGCTAAAAATAGAACATAGGGTAAAATGTAGATTTTGGCTTATATCTCTGAAACCAAAGCATTTAGAGCAAATCTGACATGGGGTAAAATTGTTTATCAGGTCAAGATCTATCTGCCCTGAAATTTTCAGACCAATCGGACAACCCGTTGTTGGGTTGCTGCCCCTGAATTGGTAATTTTAAGGAAATTTTGCCGTTTTTGGTTATTATCTTGAATATTATTATAGATAGAGATAAACTGTAAACAGCAATAATGTTCAGCAAAGTATGATCTACAAATAAGTCAACTTGACCAAAATGGTCAGTTGACCCCTTAAGGAGTTATTGCCCTTTATAGTCAATTTTTAACCATTTTTCGTAAATTTTTGTAATCTTTTACAAAAATCTTCTCCTCTGAAACTACTTGGTCAAATTTAACCAAACTTGTCCACAATCATCATTAGGGTATCTAGTTTAAAAAATGTGTCCGATGACCCTGCCCGCGAACCAAGATGGCCGACATGGCTAAAAAATAGTACATAGGGTAAAATGCAGTTTTTGGCTCATATCTCTGAAACCAAAGCATTTAGAGCAAATCTGTTGAGGATAAAATTGTTCATTAGGTCAAGATCTATCTGCCCTTAAATTTTCAGACCAATCAGGCAACCCGTTGTTGGGTTGCTGCCCCTGAATTGGTAATTTTAAGGAAATTTTGCCGTTTTTGGTTATTATCTTAAATATTATTATAGATAGAGATAAACTGTAAACAGCAATAATGTTCAGCAAAGTAAGATCTACAAATAAGTCAACTTGACCAAAATGGTCAGTTGACCCCTGAAGGAGTTATTGCCCTTTATAGTCAATTTTTAACCATTTTTCGTAAATTTTTGTAATCTTTTACAAAAATCTTCTCCTCTGAAACTACTAAGACAAATTTAACCAAACTTGTCCACAATCATCATTAGGGTATATAGTTTAAAAAATGTGTCCGATGACCCTGCCCGCGAATCAAGATGGCCGACATGGCTAAAAAATAGTACATAGGGTAAAATGCAGTTTTTGGCTCATATCTCTGAAACCAAAGCATTTAGAGCAAATCTGATAGGATAAAATTGTTCATTAGGTCAAGATCTATCTGTACTTAAATTTTCAGACCAATCAGGTAACCCGTTGTTGGGTTGCTGCCCCTGAATTGGTAATTTTAAGGAAATTTTGCCGTTTTTGGTTATTATCTTGAATATTATTATAGATAGAGATAAACTGTTCACAGCAATAATGTTCAGCAAAGTAAGATCTACAAATAAGTCAACGTGACCAAAATGGTCAGTTGACCCCTTAAGGAGTTATTGCCCTTTATAATCAATTTTTAACCATTTTTCGTAAATTTTTGTAATTTTTTACAAAAATCTTCTCCTCTGGAACTACTAAGACAAATTTAACCAAACTTGTCCACAATCATCATTAGGGTATCTAGTTTAAAAAATGTGTCCGATGACCCTGCCCTCGAACCAAGATGGCCGACATGGCTAGAAAATAGTACATAGGGTAAAATGCAGTTTTTGGCTCATATCTCTGAAACCAAAGCATTTAGAGCAAATCTGACAAGGATATTTTGTTCATTAGGTCAAGATCTATCTGCCCTAAAATTTTCAGACCAATCAGGCAGCACGTTGTTGGGTTGCTGCCCCTGAATTGGTAATTTTAAGAAAATTTTGCAGCTTTTGGTTATTATCTTGAATATTATTATAGATAGAGATAAACTGTAAACAGCAATAATGTACAGCAAAGTTAGATCTACAAATAAGGCAACATGACCAAAATTGTCAATTGACCCCTCAAGGAGTTATTGCCCTTAATAGTCAATTTTTTACAATTTTCATAAATTTTGTAAATTTTTGTAAATTTTTACAAAGTATTTTCCACTGTAACCACCGGGCCAAGTTCATTATAGATAGAGATAATAGTAAGGAGCAAGAATGTTCAGTAAAGTAAGATCTACAAACACATAACCATCACTAAAACACAATTTTGTCATGAATCCATCTGTGTCCTTTGTTTAATATGCACATAGACCAAGGTGAGCGACACAGGCTCTTTAGAGCCTCTAGTTGGTTATTATCTTGAATATTATTATAGATAGAGATAAACTGTAAACAGCAATAATGTTCAGCAAAGTAAGATCTACAAATAAGTTGTCATGACCAAAATTGTCAGTCGACCTCTTTAGGAGTTATTGCCCTTAATAGTCATTTTTTAACAATTTTTTGTAAATTTTTGTAATCTTTTACAAAAATCTTCTTCTCTGAAACTACTGAGACAAATTTAACCATACTTGGCCATAATCATTATTAGGGTATCTAGTTTAAAAAATTTGTCCGATGACCCCGCCTTCCCACCATCATGGCCGACTTGGTTAAAAATAGAACATAAGGGTAAAATGCAGTTTTTGGTTTATATCTCTGAAACTAAAGCATTTAGAGCAAATCTGACAGGTGGCAAAAATGTTCATCAGATTTAGATTTATCTGCCCTGAAAATTTTTAGTCGAATCCGACAACCCGTTGTTGGGTTGCTGCCCCTGAGTTAGTAATTTTACAAAAATTTTGCAGTTTTTTGTTATTATCTTAGATATCATTATAATATATAATATCTAATACTATTAATTATGATTTTAACCTTATTTTACATGATTTCCAAAGCATCAGTAAATACAGGTGAGCGACACAGGCTCTTGAGAGCCTCTAGTTTACAATCAAACACATTTGATATCCTAAATGTGAGGTCTTAAAAATGTACAGACGTATTTCCTCCTCTATTTGTCTCAGAATGAATTATGTCCATTTTGTCACCTCGAACATATGGTCACTATACAATTTTATACCTTTAAGTAACACTCAGTTTTGTATGAGAATGAGTATGAAGCCTCTTCCTTACTTAAGGGGTGGGTTGGGTGTACCCTATTTCTTATACAAGCCTCGTATTCAGAATCAGCTTATATTGAAACGTTTCTGTTATAGTTTACTTGTAAGTAAGTGCAAAAGCATTGGCGCAGATGCAATGTGCCCAAATTTAGACATAATTAAAAAAAAGCCTTCCAGGAAAAAAAAAGAGGTTGGGAGGGGATGAAGTATGATGGATTATAAATTGTACAGAAATTCTTTGTAACAACATAATGAACTGAACATCGATTGAAGGGAATGTGTTCTTTGATAATTGAAACACACAAAGCTGACAATAGAATTGAATACATTTTTTCAGTGGTTTTAATGATTTTCACTTTTGTCTTCAGGAGTTATGGCCCTTAAATGCTTTAAAATGACACTAAATAATGCAAGGAAAACCTGGTGGGCTGCCATTTATTAGCTCTTTTTTAAATTTAGTTTGAAAATAATCTGTCCCATTTAATTTAGAGCATTACTAGTTTTTAGTATATTTAAAATGCAATATTAGAAAACTACAATAGCATTGGTGCAAGTTCAAACTCTTATGTGAAAATACATGTTTAAATCAATAATATTGAATCATACCAACGAAAGGTTAGAAAAAGAACTGTTTTGTTCATTATTAAACCTGTCAAATTTTTAAAAGCTGTTCTTGAAAAAGATCAAAAAGGTTTTTACTTAATAACTAACGTAAAGCCTATTTGATGAAGGTATAATATTAAACGTAAATTGACAAAAATTACATTAGCACCAGGTAAATAAGATCACAAGATCATGACATTACTCTTTCATGTTATACATGCATTAAATGTTATTTCAATTTTTAAACATTTTATTGATAAAATTGAATAATAATTTTCTTTCTGTAGAAAAAATGTTACTATTATCAATAGCAATCAAAGTAAAAATTTTAATGCATTTTGATATTTTCTCATAAGTTTTTTTTTATCTAATTGCTTTTGATATGTTTAAATGATTATTTGAGAAATATGAGGTCACAATTGAATATCAGTTTTCTAAATGATCCTGAACGATCTAATCAAATAGTAAAGGGGTCAATAAATGGTCAGTCTACTAAACACTTTCAATCAATTTTCTTAAAATTTCAAATGAATGTGAAAATTAAAGACAAATTAAACACTTAAATGTCATATTAGATTTGTAATTTTAGAATGCTCACGATGTTATCATTTGAGGTTTTGTTTGCCAATGTCAAACCAATGAAACCAATGAAAGCAGAGATTCAATGTCACATAAAATATCTGAACTATTGCATGTTTTTCTAAATGTAAAGTTGAATAACAGTGACGTTAATGATACTTTT